AGCACCCCGCTGTCGCATGATGTCTCAGTGGCATAGCTGCCCATTGTCATGTCAGGAGGCAGAAGGAAGAAGGGGCCACGCTGCACACATCAGTAGAGCACAGACCCAGGCAGGAATTGGAGCAGAGCTCTAGTGCTACCTCCTCACAGATGGCACTAGCCTCATAAGCCTTAATTCTTATCTGTAAAAAAAAAAAAAAAAAATGACATCATGTACGCAAGCCCACATTGACAGCTTTGGGGAGGTTACCAGAGAGAACTTTCTTGTAGCCGTCTTCATAACAACAGGCTCTTGCAAGATGCTCGTGTGTGTGTCGGCACTGCCCTCTAAAAGCTTTCTGGATACAATGTGTTCATCCTGCAAAATAAGCCTGTGAGGTATGCTAGTCTCTATTTCACAAATGAGGAAACTCGGGCACCAGCGGGTTAAATGACTGTGGGCGTCTGCACATTCACATCCTAATCTGTATTGTCTCTTTGAATGGAAATAATAATGTTTCGCTAAAACAGATGAAGTATCGAAAAAGAACCCACTTGGAGGGGTAAGTAAGAAATCTGAATCTTCATTCCGCTTTTGGTTAATGTTCACGTTCTCTGTGGAACTAGAATTAAGATGCGTAAGCCATGAGGGAATGGATAAAGCCTGTCTGTTGGGAGGAGAGTGCTGGTGCTTAGCAGAGCATGAATCACAGTGGGACACAGAAAAGGTCTGGAGTGCTCAAGTGAGGCTTGTATGAGTACCAGTGTGATAGGATGAGCTGACCTGGAGAAGATGAGAGCCGATGTAGGTGTTACAGATAGATGGTGCCAGAGGGAGCCACTGTGGGTGGAGGAGGTTTGGGGACAGATGAGTCACTAGAAGAGAAATGCCACATAAGCGTATAAATAATAATTACCCCAATTAGAGGAGGAAGGGAGCGTTTACTAGGAGAATTCAGTGTTGATATGGAATTGAGGAGGTCAGAATCGCAAATCAAGGTTTAGGGGTGTGAGCCGAGAGGGAGAGGGTAGTGCTGGGCACTCTTGGGTTGTGACACATTTTTTGGTGGGATTGTGAGCAATTTTTTGCCCCCGTGCCCATGACTGAGTTTTCCCATCTGTTCAGTAAGAAAAATGATACTTGCCTTTTCTTCTTTCACTGGAGAGGTTTTAGAGCATTTGAGTTTTTAGGTAGAGAAACCATTGTCTCACGGTTTTCAAGGATCCTGGAAACTATCCTAGGTATGTAGGCAAGAGATAATTCTAATAACTGCATAATTCTTAATTCATCTCCAAGATGGGTACATACAGACAGGCCTTCTGAGAACTGGCAGGTGTTGGCAAGAATAAAGGTCCCAAACACAGTGACTCAGTTATACCAAGACTTAGAACAGACGTCACTCATCTGGTGGGTAGATAATCTATTTTACTGGGCTGATAATAAACCATCTGGATTTGTCTATGTCAGTCAGATTGTTTTTTCTTTATGGGAAAGGCCATTCTTGACTAATACTGAATCACTCGGAGTTTCTTAACCTGAGAATCTCAAGTTTGGTTCTTATAATTATTTATATTTGGTTTACTACAAATCTGGTTAGGATTCTTGAAATTGGTCTATGGAAGGCTATTGGACCCCTGTCAAGACAGCAGCAGCATAAGGATGAAGCTGAAATTTAAGTGAATCTCAATGCATTTTCACAGTGTGCACATACCCATGCATGAACTTACACCTGCAAACACACATACGCCGTGGAATAGACAGCTTGTGTGCTTGTCTCTTGTCTAACCCAGACCTGATTCTGATCTCAGTTCCTGGGGATGTGCACAGCAGGTGGCCCTGGGTTGTGAAGGAAGTACTTCTTACTCCTGCCCATGTCCCCCTTGAATGCCTCTGATTGTTTCTGTGCCTTGGTCTTCATGTAGGCATGGGGTTCTAGCTTCTAGTTGTACTCAGCTAAGCCAGCCACTTGGTCTGCAGATCCATCGTTATGCATTTGGAATTTGACCTGATGCTAAGCCCAGTTGTCTCCAGGATGATAAACAGAGAGCAATGTCCTTTTATTAAACCATTGCTCCTTTCCATCATACATTGAGTATAACACATTTTAACATCACAGTCACTTCCTGCTAGAGCAGAGGCAAGCTTGGAAAATAGCCTTGGCTAATTGCTTTGGTGCTACAGAAATGCCCTGTGTGATATGGACATCCAACAGTGAGTGCTCATTGTCCCCGCCCTACGTCTGAGACATTGCACTTGTTGCTCATTTCTCAGTTGCTGTCATTTAGGACTCTCTTCCATCCTCCCCACGGCTCTGATCACTCTCCTGATCCTGTATATTTGGTCCATGTAGATTCATCGCTGTAAAGTTCCAACAGGCCCATGTAGTTCCCTCAGTTCAGTCAATAATCATATGTTGTGAGACCACCATGCTTTTTCTTGCATGCAAGGCATACAGAAATGTAAAAGGCCTTTACCATTAAAGGGCTTTTCTCTACCTAGTGAAAATGGTGACCATATCTGTAAATGATAGAACTCTACACACGATCAGGGTAAAGGCCTGTTCTACCTGTGAAGGAAAAGGCCAAGAACCATGACATTTGGGTGGTTCTGAATCCACAGAGCCCAACCCGTTAGTTGGTATGGCCTCTGAATGTTTCTTGACAGAGTGGAAGAATGTGAAATGTTTGTTTGTTCGTTTGTTTGTTTTTTGTTTTTTGAGACAGGGTTTCTCTGTGTAGCCCTGGATGTCCTAGAACTCACTCTGTAGACCAGGCTGGCCTTGAATTCATAGGTCTGCCTCCCTCTGCCTCCTGAGTGCTGGGATTAAGTGTGTGTGACATGACCACTGGTTGTGAGATGGTTTCTTAGACAAAGGGCAACTCAATAAACCTTGGAGAATGGTTAAAATTGGGATTGATACAGATAAAAAGGAACAAGTGTACATTATCATGAGGATAAATCTTAGCGGAGTTTTTCTGTCCTGACATCCTGCTCCCAAATGACTGAATCTGAGACTGAATATTAATTATAAATGCTTGACCTATAGCACAGGCTTGTTACTAGCTAACTCTTACATTTAAATTAACCCATATTTCTTGTCTATGCTTTGCCACTTGTCTCGTGACTTGTTACCTCATTTTCTACATGTTCTGCTTCCTCAGTGACTGGCTGGCATCTCCCCTGACCCCACCCTTCTTCTCCCATCATTCTCCTAGTTTGGTTGCCCCAGCTATAATTCCTGCCTGGCTCCCAGCCAATCAACCTTTTATTAAAAACCAATCCGAGTGACAAATCTTTACAGTGTACAAAAGGATTGTTCCACAGCAGATAAATACAGTAAACTTAAAGGGAATGAAGAATTTCACCTGAGTGAAACACACTCTATGTAACTCGTGATCGGTATTAGGAAATATGTTTTGCAGTATGGGTGATTGAACCTAGGGCATCGTGCATGTTTGTCAAATCCTTTACCACAGAGATCTCTCCCCAGTTGGAAAATACATTTATCTCTTTGGGTAGAATAAAAACGATCATGTTTATTAAACTATTTAAAGAGGCTATGGAAGGGGTGTGTGTGTGTGTGTGTGTGTGTGTGTGTGTGTGTGTGTGTGTGTGTGTGTGTTAGGGGGTCAGTGTTTAAATTATTAGAATGTGTAGAGTCCAAAGAAGCTGGAGGAAGAAGACTATGAAAAAGGGATAGTGCAGCCACAGACAGGAAGAGCAGCTAGAAGGCAGAGTAAAAGGGAGAAAGGCCAGGAGGTATTCTGAAGGAAGTGCAGGACCGTCCCATCACTACCAAAAGAACAGATTCAACAGAACTACCAGGTACTTGGTGACATTATTAAAAGTTGGAGAAGGAGAGGTAGTTTTGGACAAGCTGATGCAGGCATAAAAATGGCATCCCGTCAGGATCCTATTAAGGACATGGCTTTCAAGGATGGTTCAGGATATGACATTAGAGATAATGCAACCAGTATCACAGTCAGTGTATTCCACTAAGTTGCCCTTCCTGTCTGAGTGTCCCAGTGAGATATAGAAGCACCTAGAGTGGTGTCTGTGGGTGGAACCTCAGGGAGGAGGTGGTTTGGGTTTGCAGAGCCATGTCTATTGCTAGTCACTAGATGTTTTTATGTGCCTGGTAGACGCTCACAGTGAATATCTCCATGCTGCATCTCCGGAGCACCACTGTAGCTGAAACTTCTCATTCAGTGAGCTATCTTTTCTCCTCATGATGTATGCTACACATTGGGCAAATTAGTAAATACTCTTAGTGTCACAACACATATCAGAATCACAGGTCTGAATAGACCAGACCCATCTCTCCTTTCTCTCCCCCTCTCCTTCTCTCCCTCTCTCCCTCTCTCTGTCTCTGTCTCTGTCTCTCTCTCTCTCTCTCTCATGTGTGTGCATGCGTGCGCGTGCGCGTGTGTGTGTGTGTGTGTGTGTGTGTGTGTGTGTGTGTGTGTGTATGTGATTTTTCAAGACCAGGGTTTCTCTGTGTAACAGTCTTGGCTGTCCTGGAACTCTCTCTCTAGACCACACTAGCCTTAAGCTCACAGACCTCCTTGCCTCTGCCTCCCAAGTGCTGGGATTAAAAGTATATGCTACCTCACCCAGCTAATCCTTTGTCTCTTATTTTAAAAAATTTAAAATATATATATATATACATATTTATGTTGTTGTTACAGTATACATTTAATGTCAATAAAAATTGCTGTCTTTTGAAATAGTTCTACTCTCAACTTATTTCTGCTGACTTGATAGGAATGATTTTTTTCTCCCTGAGATAGTTTGGTTTGCAGTTATTTCAGCCCACAAGTTTTAGTATTTAAAAAGACTTCTTTGTAAGTAAGATGTACAAAGATCAACTTGGGATTGATTTTGTGTAAGGAAATGACCGAAGCCCCGCAAGAAGTCTGAAGGGCTGGTCATTTGTTACAGACGTTGTCAAAAGAGTGTCAGCGCTACAGAGGCCAGTACAGGAAGGAGCGTGCATGTGGATTCCTTCACTGTCTCCGCAGGCTTCTTCCACCGCGACTTAAAGCCCGAGAACCTCCTCTGCATGGGACCAGAGCTTGTGAAAATTGCAGACTTTGGATTGGCCCGAGAAATCCGATCAAGACCTCCATACACAGACTATGTGTCTACTAGATGGTAAATGCTATTTCTCTCAAAATTATTTAATTCTGCTTCTTTCAAAAGATATAATTTGCCGGGCGGTGGTGGCGCACGCCTTTAATCCCAGCACTCGGGAGGCAGAGCCAGGCGGATCTCTGTAAGTTCGAGGCCAGCCTGGTCTACAGCACGAGATCCAGGAAAGGCGCAAAGCTACACAGAGAAACCCTGTCTCGGAAAAAAAAAAAAAAAAAGATATAATTTATAAGGCTAACTGTGGTGACACACACTTCTTATTCCCAGCACTCAGGAGGCAGGTGGTTCTTTGTGAGTTCATTGCCAGCCTGGTCTACAGAGTGAGTTCCAGGCTAGCCAGGGCTACATAGTGAGACCCTGTCTCAAAAAAAAAAAATCAAAACAACAGAAACAATAAAACTTTATACTGAGGACAGTATTAATCATAAGCATTCATTTCTCACTAAAAGGAAAAAATAGTTCAAACACTGCAGATATTTTGTTACTGAATGAAGATATAAGCTTGTGTTAAACAATTTTAAAAGGAAACTCATCATGCTGTCCAAAGTCTAAATGATTTTTAAAGGTTTTAGATTTATTATTTTATGTGTGTAAGTGTTTTGCTTGCACATATATGTGTGTGTGCCCCGTGGTGTGTGTGTGTGTGTGTGTGTGTGTGTGTGTGTGTGTGTGTGTGTGTGTGTGTACCATGTGCATGCCTGGTGCCTGTGAAGGGTGGATGCTCTAAAACTACAGATGGTTGTGAGCTGTCATGTAGGTGCTGGGAACTGAACCTGGTTCCTTTGCAAAAGCAACATGTGCTCTTAATGGCTGAGCCAATTCTCCAGCCCTCGTATAAATAATTTTTGTACGAAAACTTTTCTGAGGATAGTTCCTCCACATCCTTCTTCCCTGCTCTCTCTTTTGTCCTACCCAATGCCTTGTGTTTCTGAAGATGCTCGAGGAGATTCCTGTGTGCAGGAGAGATGGCTAAGCACTAAGAGTTTTGTCCTGTTCTTGATGAAGACCCAAGTTCAGTTCCTCACCCTCATCAGGTGGCTTATAATCAACCTTTTATAACTCCAGCTCCACAGGGATCCAGCAGCTCTAGCCTTGTGTGCACATACCCCCTCCACACACCCAGAGAATTCTTTAAAGATCTTGGGAGAGAAGGAGGAGGAAGAGGAAGAGACTCACTCTCTTTCTTTCATGTGTGCATGGAGTATATGTATGGTATATGAGTGTATATGATATATGCACATGAGTGTGTGGGTGCTCACACCCATGGGGAGGCCAGAGGAAGACACTCTTTTCCTCTATCACTGTCAGCCTTATTCCCTTGAGACAGGGTCTCTCACTGAGCTGAAAAGCTCACCTTTTGGCTAGGCTGGGTAGCCAGTAAACTCATGGAATCCTCTGTCTCTGCTCCTGAACGCTGGAGTTACAGGCACAGTGAGCCATGCCTGAGTTTGTACTTGGGTGCTGGGGATTTGAACTCAGATCCTCGTACTTACACATAAGTTAACTTTCCCACTGACCTCTCTCCCAGCCCTAAAACTATTATTTGTTTATTATTGGCCATGACAGTTGTCAAGTCCTTGTAAGCCCATGTACCACATTGCATTTAGGGAAAAATATATACCTTAACTAAGAGTTACTTGTTATTGAATGTATATTCTGACCAGTAGAAGTGACAGCTAGCTGTTAACCTTGTCTTTTCAGGTACAGGGCTCCAGAAGTACTCCTGAGGTCTACCAACTACAGCTCCCCTATTGATGTCTGGGCAGTTGGCTGCATCATGGCAGAGGTGTACACCCTCCGGCCTCTTTTCCCTGGGGCCAGCGAAATTGACACGATTTTCAAAATTTGCCAAGTGTTGGGAACACCGAAGAAGGTAATGACGTAGACCAAAGGCTCATGAGTCAAAGCCAGCAGCTCCCTGCTGCCCCTCCCCAGTGCTGTGCACCGCCAACCCGCCAGACTGTTCTAGAGTCTCTCTTGACCTTGACCATTCTCCTCTGCCCAGGTTCTCTAGCAAGGCCAGCTTCTCCCCTCCGTTCTGCTTACAGCTAGAGTGTTTGTCATAGATCTCTCTCTACCCCCTCTCTCGATATCATCTCACCCTTTACGGAATTTCTCCATTCATATGGGCACAGTTATGTCTCCTAAGCCTTCCACAGGCGATCTGTATCCCTACTTCTCTCCTTTATAACTGTTTAGATCTTAACAGCTGTTCGGGGGCCTTTCTTCTCACACCATCACCTCTGACTGAACTCACCTGAAGCACAGGGCTTACCATTTAGCATGCTTCCTTTCTTCGTAGCCTGTATCTATATGTGGTCTCATCATAGTCCCTAGAGGGCCAGTCTTGAGGCTGAATGTCATATAGCTCTTCAGTTTTTTTTTGTTTGGTTTGGGTTTGGGTTTGGGTTTTTGAGACGGGGTCTCACCATGTAGCCCAGGCTAGCCTGGAATTCACAAAGATCTGCCTGCCTCTGCCTCCTTTACTCGTGGGAGTGAAGGTATGTAACCACCATGCTCAGCTGAGGCTGTCTGTCTGCAGACTCACAGCAGAGTTGGAGCTGGAACTATGGATATCTCTGCTTGCTTCCCCTCCGTGGCCCCCACACCTACTCTACCCCAACATCACCCCAACCCCCAACCCCGTCCTCCAGGCTTTTCCCTCCAGCTTGTCTTTCAGTCTGTGACTAGATTCTCCTTCCTTAAAAACAGCTCTGGTTGTAATCTGGTCTTTGCTTGGAAGTATTCATCATCCCCCAGCCCCTCACTTCATTGCTTCATTCCAGGGCACAGCCTGGCTCTGTACCCTGGAGTAGCCCCATTTCTGTATGTTGCCTGAGTAAATGTCTCTTTAGTGACCATCAAGTCCCTTCTTCCTCCTTCGGACTCAATGACGCTCTCCCCCATGGCTTCTCCAGTCTCCGCCGTATCTGCGTTCTTTGCTATAATAGACTTGTCTTGTGTCTCTTTTCCCAGCTCCCAGTACTATTGCTGTTGTGAATTCAATCTTCATTTTCCTTCCCTGTCCCCCCTCCTTTTTTTAGTTTGTGTATTTGTGTCTGTGTGTCTGTGTGTGGCACTGGGTATCAAACGTAGGGCCTTAAACATGCTAGACGAAGTTCATTTTGGTGGTTTTTTTTTTTTTTTTTTTTGGTTTTTCGAGACAGGGTTTCTCTGTGTAGCTTTGCGCCTCTCCTGGAACTCACTTGGTAGCCCAGGCTGGCCTCGAACTCACAGAGATCCGCCTGCCTCTGCCTCCCGAGTGCTGGGATTAAAGGCGTGCGCCACCACCACCCGGCTCATTTTGGTTTTTTTAATTGTTTACTACCACCCTGTTAATGATAAGGTTTTTAAAGTCCCCTGCTGGCCTCCTTCCTCTTTGTGTCTATTATCTACCCCTCTGGTGGCCTTTGTCATTTTTTTTTTAATTAAACTTTAAAATTATACCCTATTTTTGTCTTTTAAGGACAAGGACATTTTTAAGAGAAGAATTTATATTGAATTATTTCTGGATACTCAACAACACTCAGCATTCACACAGGAACTGTCTGAGTGGATGGTATGCACAGTACCAGTTGGCTCCAGGGAGAGGTCAAAATTCTATCAGGGTATGCCTTACAAAACAGTAGTGTTAGAACTGGAGAAGCCTCAAGCCTGGCTGTTCAGATTTCCCACCATTCACTCCAGCCTCCAGGCCTCCACAGATGTGATGCATGAAAAGGTGGGGGGTAGAGAGGACCTCTGTGTCTCGGCTAGTCCTCTCGGCATAAATATTTACAATCATCGGCGATATAGTTAACACATGGAGTGTCACAGATCTATTGGTATTTTGCTTTACTTCATTTTTATTTTGTCTTCCCCCTCAAAAATACCATACAAGTAGTTTCCAAAACCCATGTGTCAGATGCACAGCAGGGAAAATGGTATGGGCATCAGTCCCCAGTTCGCCCAAGATGGACAGTCTTCTGTAAAGGTTATAAAACCAGCTAAGCTGGTGGCAAGTCACTGTCTTTCCTGCTGTTTCTCAGATTTCATGCACTGTAGTCTGTGTGAGGGTAGCCATGGGCCTCATCACATACACCTGTCTAGTGGTGTCACGGGACAACTGCCTTCGGTTATGGGTGCATGTGGAAGACTCCCAGCCCCTCACAGCCACCGTCTGAGTAGCATTTCCTGTCTTTTCTTGCAGACTGACTGGCCTGAAGGCTACCAGCTGTCAAGTGCCATGAATTTCCTCTGGCCCCAATGTATACCCAATAACTTAAAGACGCTAATTCCAAATGCTAGCAGTGAAGCCATTCAGCTCCTGAGAGACATGCTCCAGTGGGATCCCAAGAAACGACCGACCGCTAGTCAGGTTCGCCTGTTTCTTTTCTGTTCAAAGCATTTCTTAGGAAATCTCTACCTCACTCTGAGTATTTCTGTGAATTACGTTTGGTAACATGGCTGAAAATAGTACTGACTCCTATGAACTGGAGGAATTTAAGGTAATCTGAAACTTGTTGGGCATAATTAAAATAGTTAATATTAAACAGTTATTTATATTGAACATTAACATTGATATATGATATAATATATCACAATGTGTAATATATGATATATCACAATGTGATATATATATATATATAAAATCTGCAAATATAAAATTGCTGGCTGGGCATGGTGGTGCACACCTTTAATCCTAGCACTCAAGAGGCAAAGGCAGGCACGTGTCTGAATCCAAGGCCAGCCTTGTCTACAGAGGGGTTACAGAATAGCCAGGGCTACACAGAGAAACTCTGTCTCAAAACACACACACACACACACACACACACACACACACACACACACACACACACACACACACAAAAAGAAAGAAAGAAAGAAAAAAGAAAAGAAACATAAAATTGACAGGAATAAAGAATAGTTCAGAAAAGAAAAGAAATGTCTGTCTGTCTGTCTGTCTTCCGAGGTGGTTTAAAATATGTTCTCTGTGAGTTAAGACCATTCAGTAGTTTGGCGATGAGCCAGCACTGAGTGTTGAAAGGTAACTTAGGAAACCAGCCCACTCGTGGACAGACAGCAGGGACAGAACAGCAGACAGATGCATGTAACTGCAGCTGGCATTTTCATGTACTTTGCACATGCCACGGTGTGTTTTATGTGATTTCAACCTAGTGCAGAGCCCATGAGGTAAATGCTTTTGTTTTCACTTCTGTGGGTAATAAAACTACATCTTAGAAAGTTGGAATGATTTTCCCTAGCCACTTATTCGGGAATTAGTACAGGTAGTGCAGCTGCCTATAATCCAGGTGGCAGGGCTTCCGGATGTCTTCCCGCCCACCTTCCCCCGGGCTGCATTGATAAGTTATGAAATGAACCCAAAAGAGCCGAGAGCTCTTGTCACTCAGCTGCCTCCTGCAAGCCTGGTTTTGTTTGAACCTTTGTCAGCTTGACTCATGAACAATTAATTACACCACTCAGAGCATCAAGTAGAGAACCGGTTCTAACCAGAGAAGGTGATCTGTGATCTTTTATCACAGAAGGGCAGAGCTATCAGAAGAAAGTGCCAGTGTGAAGGCAGAATTTGTGGTAGCTGCAGGGATGACAGCTGGGGATGGTTAAGGGGCGGAAGAGTTTGTTCTCAAAGTCCTAAGGAGCCAGCCTCAGCCTGGTGCCAGCAGCTTCTGGCTGGTCAGACATGGTTAGAAAGTGCATGCACTTCTGATGGTAAAAGTCACCAATGGTTTTAGGGCAGCAAGGAAAATTTCTGATGAACTCCTTTATTTTTTTATAGAATGCCCATAAAATATTAAATTAAACAAATCACAACAAATCTCATGTAACCAAACCCAAGGGAGAAATGATATCAGAAAAGCTAAAAATATCCCCACATCAGATCAGACGTACAAAATGCCAGGAGCTACAGAGAATTCTTTCTAGTTACATGCCAGAGTCCTGGACTCTCACACAGTACCCACATTGTTTGGCTCTGAGTCTGCACTTACATATAATAATCATAGATGTGCCAGGCGGTGGTGGCCCACGCCTCTAGTCCCAGCACTCGAGAGACAGAAGCAGGCAGATCTTTGTGAGTTCGAGGCCAGTCTGGGCTACAGAGTGAGTTCAGGAAAGGCGCAAAGCTATACAGAGAAACTCTGTCTCAAAAAACAAAACAAAACAAAAATAATAATAATCATCATAGATGTTTATAACTTAGGTTCCAGATCCATTAAGAAAATACTGTTAGCCGGGCGGTGGTGGTGCACGCCTCTAATCCCAGCACTCGGGAGGCAGAGCCAGGCGGATCTCTGTGAGTTCGAGGCCAGCCTGGGCTACCAAGTGAGTTCCAGGAAAGGCGCAAAGCTACACAGAGAAACCCTGTCTCGAAAAACCAAAAAAAAAAAAAAAGAAAATACTGTTATTTTCAGTGACTTCCATTAACAAATCTAGGGGAATACATATAGAATTTCATAAAGAATTGTAAGCTTCTGCATGTTAAGCTTTGGTTAACCAGGAGACTGCCATAACTACTGGCAGCTAACCCTTGTCTTTGTGGGAAGGTTTGAGTATTGTGTGTTGTACTCACACAATACAGCCTGAATAACAGCAGAGATAACTACTGCCTGCTTGGTTGGTTGGTTGGTTGGTTGGTTGGTTGGTTGGTTGGTTTGGTTGGTTGGTTTAGTTGGTTGGTTGGTTTGGTTGGTTGGTTAGTTGGTTGGTTGGTTGGTTGGTTGATTGGTTTAGTTGGTTGGTTGGTTGGTTGGTTTGGTTTGGTTGGTTGGTTGGTTTGGTTGGTTGGTTGGTTGGTTTGGTTGGTTGGTTGGTTGGTTGGTTGGTTTTGAGACAAGATCTTATATAGTCCAGACTGACCCGAACTTTCTGTTTAACCAAGTCTAGCCTTTAACTTCTGATCCTCCTGCCTCCACTTTCCTGAGTGCTAAGATTATAGGCATGTCCTTCCATTCCCAGATTCATACCATCTGCTTTAGCCGAATAACTTTAAGTATTGCAACTATATGTAAATTCTATATGAACTCAGATCTAGAAAATCAGAAGGGGGTTACCAATGCAGTGTGTTGGTTTATAGCAGGTTTGGGCTAAGAGCCTGTAGTGAATTGGTCACACAACCTGTAGTCCATTGATCGTGATGGTGTTTACTGTCCCTTCTGGACTTTTCCTTCTAATGCCTCATTTGTCGTTCCAGGCCCTTCGATATCCTTACTTCCAGATTGGACACCCACTGGGCAACATCACACAGGATTCAGGAAAACCTCAGAAAGATGTCCAAGACAAGACAGCCCCACCTCCTTACATCAAGCCGGCCCCTCCTGCCCAGCCCCCAACCAAGGCACATACACTGATTTCTTCTCGACCAAACCAAGCCAGTCAGCCCCCTCAGCATTTTGTGTACCCCTACAAAGGTGAAGCCTCCAGGGCAGATCAGCTCAGCCATCTTCAGGAGGGCAAGCCAAGCCCAACGCTCTTCCCTTCCCTCCAAAATAAGAACCTGCAGCCAGTAGGTGTCGAGTGTCTACAAGGAAACTAGTTTCTTTGCTCAGTTAATTCTCTTCTGGCTACAAATATTGTGTGAAATATTTTCCTTTTCAGTACATAAGGTCTTAGACGTTTATTTCCACAGTACCATGACATTATGAGAAGGCTCATGATATAAGGTCTGAATTCAGTTTCTGCCCTTTCCGTTAACAATCCCATTCTGTAGTAGTTCTTTTGCTGTTGCTCTGATAAAACACGTGACTACGGCAACTCAGAGAAGAAGGAGTTTATTTGGGCTTATGGTTCCAGAGGGTCAGAGCCCATGATGGCAGAACAAAGGCTTCGCAGCAGGAGCAGGAGGCTAAGGGTTCACAGCTTCAGCTGCAGACACCAAGCAAAGAACACACTAGGAACGGTACAAGACTTTGAAACTGCCAAACCCACCCCAGTGACATATTCCCTCCAGCCAGGACACACCTCCCCACCCTACCCAAACAGCACCACCACCTGGAGACCGGGCACTCAAACATCTGAGCACACGGGCATTCTCGTTCAAACCGCCACTGGGGTCACAGTGGCAAGCTGGACTCTGTAACCAGAGTTCTGCTCTTCAGCAGCTTGGTACATAAGCAAGTTAGCTGGCTTCTCGGCTCCATGTTATCTCACCTGTTAAATAGAAACCATTATAACGTCTACTTAGTGCTGTTTTAAAGACTGAATCAGTTAATACTTGCAAAGAATTTAGAACAGTACCTAGTGTATCATAGCTCCAAAATATGTATAGTGCTGACATGTATTCTGTCAACTCGACACAAGCTAGAGTTGTTGGAGAAGAGGGAACCTCAGTTGAAAAAATGTCCCCATTAGATTGGCCTGTGGTGCATTTTTTTAATTCGTGGTGGATGTGGGAGGGTCCAACTCACTCGAGGTGGTCCCACCCCTGGGCAGCTGATCCTGGGGTGTGTAAGAAAACAACGTGAGCAAGACTTGGGCAAGAAAGTTGTTGCCATGGCTTCTGCTTCAGTTTCTTGCCCTGCTTGGGCTCTTGGCCTGACTTCACTCAGGGGTGGACTGGAAAAGTAAGATGAAATAAACTCTTTCCTCCATTAGTTGGTCTCGGTCACGGTGTTTTCTCACAGCATTAGAAACCCTAACTAATACATCATAGAACTCAGAAAGCACTGGGCATTGTTGCTGTTCATCCCTACAGAGTCATGGTGTTTTCTCACAGCAATAGAAACCCTAACTGATACATCATAGAACTCAGAAAGCACTGGGCATTGTTGCTGTTCATCCCTACAGAGTCACGGTGTTTTCTCACAGCAATAGAAACCCTAACTGATACATCATAGAACTCAGTAAGTTCCGGGCGTTGTTGCTGTTCCTCCCTACAGAGTCAGTTTCTTCATCTGAGGAAGAAGATCTTAATTTATGTCCCCTCCCCCAGACCAGTTTGTTCTTGCCAACGGGAGCTCCTAATGCCTGTGATGGCGATGTTTTGAAAATCCTAAGGAGCTGCAGTCATCTTCTGTCTGTAGACTGTTTTTCATATTATTATTATTATTATAAATTGATGTCAACGCTGAGCTATTAAATGAGCACAAATCTTTCTTCAGCTGATTTTTGAATAGACAGTGTGTGTTGGATCAGTAGAAGGACAACCTGCCAAGGAGCTGGCGTTTATTTACTCCCTAATGCTCTCAAGTCACTCCCTAACACCTTTATGCAAAAGAGGTCCCTTCTATGGACAGCTGTTCACCAGCATCCCAAGCAGTACCACGGGTGTTTCCCCAGGGCTGTGGGCTTCCACCTCTTAGCACTTTACCCCTTCTCCAGATCAAGAGGTGGCCTGTTTGGAAATTCTCTGTTGTACTAAATCTGTATGTAAAGATTATATCGGAGATAATTCCCAGGCCACTGAGAAGCCATTGTTTATATTGTTTGATGTGATACAGCAGGGTGATCAAGATTTGGCAATAATCGCTTGTCTACTGTAGCAAAGGCCCAAGTTAGAATTTAGCCGTCTTCCTAATATGTCAGAAGAGTTGTGACTTCCTGTGGTGGTCCTGTCACAGTGTAGACCAAGTCTCAGTGAGGAATTGTCTCGATTAGGTTAGCCTGTGGGCATGCCTAGGAGGGAGTTTTCTTTTTTTTTTTTTCCTTAAGATTTATTTTTATTATGTAAAATTGTGTGTGTGTGTGTGTGTGTGTGTGTGTGTGTGTGTGTGTGTGTGTGTGTACACCAGAAGTGTTGGGTTCTCTGGTGAATTACAGACTGTCTGATTGATGTGGGTGCTGAGAACTGAACTCCAGTCCTCTGCAGGAACAGTATGTGCTTATAACCACAGCGCCCTCTCTCTCCAGCCCAAGGGTTTTCTTACTTGGGTTAATTGAGGTGAGAAGACCCTCAGTGTGCACAGTACCACTTCAGGGGCTGGCACTGGACTTTATAAATGGAGACAGCAAGCTGAGCTCTGGCACCCATGTGCCCCTTTATTGCTGTCTACTCTTGGCTGTGGATGTTAACGGGACTTTTGTCTCAGGTTCCTGTCATCACCTCCTCCTTACCAGGACAGATGGGAACCTGGAATTGCTCCACTGAGGCACACCCATCAGGGTGCCCTGGCACAGCAGCAGAATAAATTAGGATACTTTCTTACGTCTTCCTCTCTTACGTTCTTGTTTCGTGTAACTTTGCGAACTTTTGTTTACAAACAAAAAACAAAAAAAACCTAGTTGGTGCAGGATGAGTTGGAGACGGGAGGTATGGGTCTACACTTTGCACAGATGCCCTTTCAGACATATGAGACCTGTGGGGTGGCGAGGTCCTCCAGGTCCTTCTTACTGTAGTAATAAAGGAAATTCAGAACACACACACTCACACTCTCAAATACGTGCACAGGTTATTGATAGATGAACCCTGTTAATGTTGCTTTGTCCTTTCCTTCTCCTGTGTTTGTAGACACAGAAAATCCTCGCTGGCCTGGAACACAAAAATGGTGAAATCAAGCCAAAGAGCCGGAGAAGATGGGGTCTTATCTCCAGGTCAACGAAGGGTTCTGACGATTGGGCCGACTTGGACGACTTAGATTTCAGTCCCACTCTCTCCAGGATCGATGTGAAAAACAAGAAGAGGCAGAGTGACGACCCCCTCTGCAGGCAAGTGTGCTGCTTGTCCCTGGGAGCACACTGGCGCGGGTCACAGGTGTCTCTCTGATGACGCGCCACCAGTATCTCTCCTGACTTCAGCCACGTTCTCTTGATTCAGGTTCGAAAGTGTTTTGGACCTGAAGCCATCGGAGCCGGTGGGTACAGGAACTAGCGTCTCGACCCAGGCTTCCTCCCAGAGGAGAGACACGCCGACCCAGCGGTCTGCAGCCAAGCAGCTCTACTTGAAGCACTCTCGATACTTGCCTGGTAACAGAGAGGGCGCACGCGCCTGGCCTCCGCTCATCAATAGCCAGTCTTCGTCCCCGGGGTCACAAGTGTTTATAGAGTCTCTTTCAGAGGACGAGCACATCCCTACTTGTGCCCTACGTGACACACAGTACAGATCACATCATGTGACTCCTCTAGCTAAAACCCTTAGAGCTGTCTATCCCTTGCTCATGAAATGAAATCCAAATTTCTCACAAGCCCCGACCATGCCTCATACGGCATGCTGTGTTGCCTCTGTGGCTGGAGTGCTCAGCACCCACGGGCCTCTGAGTTGGTGAGGACGTCATAGACTATTTGGGCCTTGCATTTTTATCTCACATAGGCATCCTGAGCTGAGAGACTTAGTGTAGACAACGTGAGCTGAGCGTCCGAACTCGATGACTTGACAACGACTAGACAGCATACCTAGTTGCAGCCTGTCTTTTTCTCTCTGTGTGCACTCAGGAACCCAGGCTAGGAGTTTAGTTACACCTTCTGGGCAGGTTCGGTAAGGGCCCAAGCCTCTCTCCAGATTTCACATCCCAGCCTTACACTGTCATTCAGTCACCCACTCACAGATGAACTCAACCAGACTGTGTGTGTCAAGCACCCACTATGTGCTAAGCACTGAGAATATTATAATGAAGCAGGACCCTCCACCCCCACCTTCCACAAGTGTCCAGCTCCAGGTAGCTCCTTCACACCGCAGCCTCATGGTGGCATCATGGAACTACCCTGCACATAAGGATGAGTGGCGCTCGTGGACTCGCAGTGAGACTTTGGCATGTAGTTGTCACAGATGGCGATGCAGTGGTCAGGAAAGGTTTCTCTGAGCAAATGGCTCGGCACCAAAAAATGAGAAAGACCCAAGTGTGCAGAAACCAAGAGAAGAACACAGCAGGCCGTGGAAAGAGCAAGGGCAAAGCCCTAGAGGCAGGAAAGGCTTAGCATGTGAGGGGAACAGCACAGTGGCCAGGGTGTGCAGAGCAGAGAGCCGGAGGGATGGAGTGTGTAGCATGGGGTATCTTTGAAAACCCTGAAAAAAAAAATTCTGGATTTCATTTTTTTGTTGTTGATATTTTGGCTTGGTTTTTTATCGTTGCTGTTTTAGGGACAGGGCCTCACTATGTAGCCTTAGCTATACGCGAACTCTCTTTGTCGATCAGGCTGCCCTTGAATTTACAGGGATCCTCCTGCTTCTGCTTCCTGAGTGTGGGGATTAAAGGCGTGTGCCACCACACCATGCTGAATTTCATTTTTTGATACAAGGGAAATCCTTGAAAGTTCTTAATTGGAGGACATGAGTCTCCAGTTAGGGGCCAGCAAACTCTAGCTGCCACCCGGGTAAGAGGAGGGGAAACGAGTCTGGGAGTACAGTGAGAAGTAAAGCCTCCAGATGCATTCGTCTTCACTTGTGGTCGGGAGTGTGATGAATCCGGGCAGGCTCTCAGGTTTTGACATTGCGCTGATGGTTCCCTGGGTGACAAGTGCGGGTTCCAGGCACGAGGGAACTGCAGAATTGTTCCATCGCAGCTGGGGTGGAAGGAGATGATAGAAGAGTGTGTGAGCTTCAGATCGGAAGAATAGCTGCAGAGCCTGGCGTTGGCAGGAGCATGGAGCATTGTAGAGGTTTGTCTTAAGGTCAGCTGCAAGGCTGCTGTGTTGTGTCCTGGGTGGCCCTGCATGGGAAGAGGCAGAATCCATGAGGCTTCTTGGTACAGTGAAGTCAGCAGCAGCTAACATCAAGGATCGTGCAGGCCATGTGAGAAAATGGAATCTCCGAAAATAGACACAAAAAGAAACCAAAGGCTACAGAGCGTGGGGTAGGGGCATTGTGTTAGGGAGTGTGGGGTGGGGGTGGGGAGTGGAGAGAACCTCAGTGAGTGACAGGAAAGGAGTTCATCTGGGAAGAGGGCAAATTCGAGTGTTAGGAGTCCTGAAGGAGTCCTTCTGAGGGAGAGCACCAGAAAGCCAAGATATGGATAGCTCTGTTAGTGGAAGAATAAGGAAACCTCTTAGACTGCCCACAAATGAAACAATGCATTCCACTCAAAGATGTCCTCTTCCCTCTGCATCTGTCGGATGACATCATCAGTTTCCGGGGACGTTTTCTACCACAGAAATTTTGTGTGTTCTGTATTTTATTTTTGAAATTTGATTTATTTTACATTTCAAATGATCTTGGCTGTGTCTGATTAAATCATCTAACATAATGTCACAGGCTACACATAAATAATAAGAAATGTACTAGGGTGACTGTAAGTATCTAAGTCATTGTTCTGTTGCTGTGAAGAGACACCGTGACCACAGCAACTCTTTTTTAAAAAAAAAAAATAATAATTTATTTAACTTTATTTTATGTGCATTGGTGTGAGGGTATCAGATCTTCTGGAACTGGAGTTATAGACAGTTGTGAGCTGCCATGTGGGTGCTGGAAATTGAAGCTGGGTCCTCTGGAAGAGCAGCCAGTGCTCCTAACCCCTGAGCCATCTCTCCAGCCCCAGCCACAGCAATTCTTATAAAAGAAAACACTGAATTGGGGCTGGCTTACAGTCTCAGAGGTTTAGTCCGTCATCAATATGGCAGGGGCATGCAGGCAGACATGGTGCTGGAGAAGGAGCTGAGAATTCTTCATCCAGACCGCAGGCAGCAGGAAGAGAGCGGCACTGGGCCTGGCTTGAGCTTTTGAAACCCTGAAGTCCACCCCCAGTGACATATTTCCTTCAGCAAGGTCACACCTCCTAATCCCTCTCAAGTAGCAGTACTCCCTAATGACCAAGCATTCAAATCTATGAGCCCATGGGGGCCGTTCCTCTTCAAAAAACCACCACAGCAAGGGTGCAGTGAAACCACCAGACTGGACCACTCCATAAGTAGAAGGAGCTGTTTATTTGGGGAAATTCAAAACTGCCATGGCTATTTCTTGGAGATCAGAGAGAAGAGCAAAAGGTGGGAAAGACTTGCCAGTTTTAAAAGGAGCAGGTAGCTGCGGGGTGGGAGAGGTGTGTAAGCCAGAACAACCAAGGAGCTAGTCTGGAGACTTTGATAGGTGTTACAGGTGTGTGTTAATAGGGAACTAGACGCCCCATTGCTGGGGGTGGTCTGCTGTTGTGGGATAAGGAAGTAGTGGCTCTTCCTGACAAACAGAAACCCACTTCTCATGTTTCTAAGGAATGCTGATTTGGGGCTTTTGTTTATCTGCCTGCAATCCTTCTGTTTGCCTAGTCAGAGTCCATCCAACCTGAGCTGAACTCAGACTGATTTATTTACCACATTGTCAGTGGCACTGGTGGGGGATGGGGATGTTTTGGTGACACATTAAAGTATCCACTGTGTCATGGAGTTACCACTATTTGTTTTTATGGCAAGAATACCAAAAATTTACTAATTTAGAAAAGGTTTCATATATAGTACAGTTTTGTTCCCTGCAGTCCTTAGGCAATAGACCTTTAAAGTCATGCCATCAAACAGATTCTGCTCAGTTCTCAGGCATCATTTTCCCAGCTCCCATTTTGTCCCTACTCCCCTGGGAACAACTGTAGGCTTGGTCTTTTTTTTTTTTTTTTTTTTTTGCGGGGGGGAGGGGTGTTTTTTTTTCAATTATCTGTATATTTTATAATCTCCGTGTATTTGGTTTTTTTTAAGATTCCACATATAGTAAGTGAGATCATGCAGTCTTTTTCTTTGTGTGTCAGCTTGTTTCCCTTGGCCTAAAGTCCATATTGCGGCAAATGGCAAGATACCATTCTTTTTAGGGCTGACTAATATTCCATTACGAGATGTACCACTGCTTCTATCCGTCTGTCTGTCCGTCTGTCTGGTTTATCTTGCATTTTAATCTCATTTTCTTCTCTACTAGGAATAAATATAAGAAATGGCGTGCTCCCAAATCCAGGCAAGGACTTCCCTCCATCAAATCCATGGTCCAGTTCTGGTTTGTCTGGAAAATCTTCAGGAACAGTGTCAGTAGTGAGCAAAATAACTTCAGGCAAGTAACGGTTATTACCTTCTGAGTTACCAGAGGCAGGTTCCCAGGATGCTTTGAGGTTTGTAGAAGGGCACGTAGAGAACTGTGGGATGAGGGCTTTCCGGTCTGAGTGACAGGCATCTCTTGGGCTTCCCTGCCTTTTGCTCACTCTCTTTCTTAACAGCAGCCCTTGGGGTTCAGCCAGCTCCCATAGTGTTCTGTCCTCCGGGGAGATGGGGAGTGGAGCAGTGCCCCCTCCCCCGGGGGGGAGCCAAAAGTAAGTGTACAGACCTAGCGGATCTGACCCCGACGCCCTGGTGTGCTTCGGGCACCTGGCTCCTAAAGTCAATGTTGGTTTGGTCTTCTCCAGCTAGACTGTCTGACTGGTGAATCTGCCCTGCCCACGGAACCAGAATCCCTTTTGATTGGAAGATGGACAGCTTATCAGGCACCCCCACCACCACCCCATGGACACACGTTTTAAAAAAATAAAGTCCTCCAAACTGATTCGCCAGGTTCCCAGTCGACAATTTCCCCATGCTGTTTCACAGCCCTTGCTGAGGGCTGGTTCCTCTTCCACAGCTCCCAGGATGCACCTAACCCTCACCGCTCCTCACCTTCTTCCATTAGGGTTCACTGAGGAACACAGTGCCCAGGTACCCATCATGCCACCTAAGAACACACTTGAGGCCGAGAGTCTGGCTGAGTCCCCGACACACACACACACACCGCCCCGCCCCCACCCTACCCCACAACATACCACACCACCTCACACCACACCACCCTGCCCTGCCCCAGGCCTGGTTGGGTGTTAACTTTTCCTGTACATTTAAAAAAATATGTGTGAAATTCAGTGAGTTTTCCATATTTTAAAGTTTAGATGAACACTTCCTTTTAAGGAATAATATGTGTAGCAAGTATCAGTATCTACCCTAAATTATAGAATATGCTGTGCGTGGCTGTATGGTGCCATGGCTCATTATTATACTGGATCACTATTTATTCCTTGTTTTCTCAACAAGCACATGGCTATTTGTAGCTCGTCCCTCAGAGGGGGCCAAGGTGGACACTTCTGTATCCATGTTGCTGTGCACACAGGCACCAGGTCCTCTGCTGGAATCAGCATTTTAGGTTAGAGGATGTGCCCGTCTTGGGCTTTGTAGAGACTGTCAGATTGCTGCCCTGCTGGGTGTGGAATTGTGCCTCGTCCTTGGTGACACTTGGTACCCAAGACTACAGTGAGTCTTGCTCTGGTCTAAAATGGTGTCCTGTGTTTAAACTTGTATGTCTTTGAGAATGAGGTTTGTCGCTCATGTTTATTGATTATTTTGTATTGAGGGGGTGGAAACTTGTTTGAATTCTCATTTTTCTTATCTCCTCATTAACCAGTACTGCACAGTGACTCCATCTGACCAACCGTATACATTCATTCCGGAACATTTGCCCACTCTGCCTTAAGCAATTACTAAATGCCCTTTTTGCTGTCGAGAGAGAACAACTGTACCATTAACACTTCCTCACAGGTGGAACTTTTATCCGTTCAGTGATCAGTAATATCTTTCTCCATTATCCCTGTGTGCCTTTAAGCCATAATGGTCAGCATTAGAAATACTCATTTGTCTGTCCATGTTAACTGGTTACCTGCGATTTCAAATTATACCAATATCCTCCTAGAATACAAAGGAGGCAGTATGCAGTCCACCCTTACCACACCTTCAAATAGGGATGATGTAAACAAGCCGATGGCACACACCTGTAATCCCAGCGCTCGGGAGGCTAAGGCAGGCACACTGCCCATTTGGGGCCAGCCTGGGCTCTGTAGTGAGACTCGGCCTCAGAAAAGAAAGAAAGGAAGAAGGAATGAGGGAGAGAGACATGGCAGGTAGACATAAACAATGAATTTTTAGGACATTTTCATTGGGGGCCTGTGAGATGGCTCAGCAGCTAATGGTTGTTACTGTGCAAGCCTGGAGACTTAATTCCTGGAACCCATGTGAAGGTGGAAAGAAAGAACTGACCTCATAGCTGTCCTCTTACCTCCATGTGCTTGCCATGGCAGTCACCCTCCCACACACATCGTACAAACACCATAATAATAAACTTATATATGTACATGTATATGTACAATATATATGTGTATATATATATATATATATATATATATATAGAGAGAGAGAGAGAGAGAGAGAGAGAGATGTTTGTTTGTTTGTTGTTTTTTTCGAGACAGTTTTTCTGTGTAATAAGCTGTCCTGGAACTCAGTTTGTAGACCAGGCTGGCCTCAAACTCACAGAGATCCACCTACCTCTGCCTCCCAAGTGCTGGGATTAAAGGTGTGCACGACCACACCCAGCTTAAAAATATTTTTTATTAGTGGTTAGTTTTTCTAATTATCAACAAGATATTTAGTTTATATTTCTAACATCTAGATAGATGAGATTACCTTTGTGTATGATCAGTTAAGTGAATTATGTTCAGCTGTTCTTCAGAATTTGCATATACTAACATGATAGGATAGTCCATAGGATGGAGTAGAAAAAGAAAATTCTAGAACAGGTAAACCAATTCTGGGGGGGAAAAAATCCCACGGAAACTATCAACTATGTGCCTTGTTTAGTTTAACACCGCCCGCCTAGATGCTGCCTGTGGGAAGGCGCTTCCTGTGCCCTGCTCCTTTCTGACTGTGGTGTGGTGGCATCCTTCTCAGAACTCCCCTCTTTCTCCTTTCTCCCCAGAATGTAGAAACAAACTGTTGCGTGCTCTTGGTCTCATGGAGTGTGTCTTGGCAGTAATGAGTCTTCCTTTCCACACCTCAGTTGGCTCAGGCTCTGCGGGTTCCAGCGGACTGACTGGAGGTTACATCCCTTCTTTCCTGAAGAGAGAGATCGGTTCTGCTGTGCAGAGGGTACACCTGGCGCCTCTCACCGACCCCTCCCCTGGTGAGTTGCATTTCAAATCATCTGTAAGGTAATCCAGTAGTTACCAAACAGCGGCCTCGTGGCAGGAACGGTGTAGACAGAACAAGTCGGGCAGCACTCCTTGCCCAGGGTGAACTTGTACTCTATAGATGATATGTGAATTAAATAAATGTAAATATATATTCACATTTGCTTTTATATGACATAAATGCATGTATGTAAGTTATATATACTAAAGTCTGATGTGCATAAATGGTAAGGAAAAAAAAACCAAAGCAGGCAAGACACGGGGATAAAGATGGGGAGGAGGTTAGTGAGTGAGCTCTCCAGCACTGTGAACGTCGTGGGATTCTTGCGAACACAGGCTTTGGAGCATATCCGGCCTAGCAAATCCAGGGAGCAGTGAAGAAGCCAAAATGCATGGGGCTAAGAAAGAGACATGGGGAGTAGCTAGAGGAAGTCGGGGTGAGGAGAGCCGGAGAGTGAGTCCCTGGAGCAGGCACTGGAGTATATTGTCATTGGCTGATCTTGGGATTCTGCTGGAGGGTTTTGTGGGGACCGCCATCTGCACACGTGCCCTCCCGCTGATTGCTGTCATTAGACTAAATGGGAGCCAAGTTAGAAGCAGGAGCCATAGCCTGGGCCAGGGTTGTCAGCCGTTGATAACATCCACCACATTCCGGGTCTGCATGGGATGGAGGGCAAATAGGATTTGCTGACAGATTGTAGATGAGAGGAGAAGAGCGGCCTAGGGTTTTGACTAGACAAGTCTTCCTGTGGGTTCCTTCCTGCCTGCAGGAGGGTGGCAGAGGAGGCAAGCGTTCCTCCTGGATGGTGCAGACATGTATCCCTGTGCTGCGCTTTCCTGCCCTTGGCTTGGCTCCCACGTGGGTCAGCTCAGCACTTCTCTTCCGTTGCAGGCTATTCTTCCCTGAAGGCCATGAGACCTCACCCGGGGAGGCCTTTCTTTCACACCCAGCCTAGGAGCACTCCTGGGTTGATTCCACGACCTCCAGCCGCCCAGCCTGTGCACGGCAGGATAGACTGGTCTTCCAAGTACCCAGCCCGTCGGTGACTGTGTCAGCCATGAGGCCGGCCTCCCTCCTCGACTCCGTTGCAGAACCACGTGATGGTGTAAAAGCACCCAAGCTTACAGCTGTTCTGAACTAACACATTTCAATATTTCTTTTAAAAGTTTTTTTTTGATATTGATTTGAATGCAATACCCTCTTTTTGTATAAAATTATTTTCTTCTAAAACTGGGTCTCATTATTTTCTTAAACAACAGCATTTTGTATATATGGATTATGTTTTAGCATTTTATACAGTCAACTTTGTAATGAACTTTTTAAAGATTAAGTAATTTTTGTTTGTTGTTCCACATAATATTTTATACAGATTTTGAAATATATAATAATATTGATGCAGTATTGTGACAGGGTGCAGTTTAATGCTGTGCCGTAAGGGATTATGTACTCAATATATTCGGATATCGTGAAGAGGCTGCATTTAAATGTGGCTCATTTGGTACTTTAGGCTTTCTTGGACTGATCTGAGGAAAGCGTCCCATCCACTGCTTTTCTTAACAGCTTGTATCGGTTGTTCTGGGGGCAGAAATTGTTTTGTTGTTGTTGTTGTTGTTTTGAAACAGGGTCTTATGTAGCCCAGGCTGGCCTACCACTCACCAAGTAGCTGAGGATAGCATTGAACTTCTGATCTTCCTGCCTCTGGCTTCCTGAGTGCTGCCATGCTTGGTTTTAACCCAGGGCTATTATTACATGCCTAACAGCCCTCATCTACCATCCTTTATACTACTGCTCTATTAGAAACCGTCACTTTATCTGGACTTGTTTCACTTTATTTTTGCCCCCAGAACAAAGAAATTTTGAAATTTTATAACACTCATAAATACAGTTGCAAACAATATCCAGATAAAAACCAAGCATAATCATACTAAACTATCACATTTCTACCTTTTCTTTTTTTTTTTTTTTTTTTGACTGACAGGGTTGCTCTCTACTGGTTAAAATCCCCACTGGCCTCCAGCTTCAAGTAGTGCACTCCTGGCGGTGAGGATGAGGGAGGGATTGAGCAGGGACAGCCAGCTCCCTGCTGGGCAGACACTGAGGGAGATGGCAGGACCTGTAGTCACCAGGCATTGTTCAGGTGAGCTTTTCTTGTTCTGGAGGGCCTATCAGCCAGGAGCACCTACCTACCTACCTACCTACCCACAGCAATGCCAGCAAGCCTTCTTCCAGCCTTCACCATCCCCAACTCACCTGCAGCAGACTAAAGATGCAGAAAACAGTACTTAGCTCAAAACCAGCGGAGCCATGGAGGCAGGTGGGGAGGTTGCAGCCCCTTGCAGGTGCCCGCACCTACCTCCATAGAGCCAGAGAGGAGGCTCCCTCCCACCCCTGTGGTCCATGCTTTTTTCCATTGTTAAAAACTCTGGGCTGAGAGATGACTCAGCTGCTCCTGTTCCAAGGGATCCGATGCCCTCTTCTGGCCTCTATAGGCACCTTCATGCATGTAGATACCCAGCCACTGACATAAACACATGTAAAATCTTTATAAAATCCAATTGTTAAAATCCCTTAAAAGGGAAGCCTTTTTATGTCAAAGGTACCTTTTTATTATAATTTTTCATTGTTTTATTGTAAAAAAAATTTCCTAACGTATGTTAATACAATCAATTAAACTTATATCCCTGCCAAGATGAATGACCAAAAGAGCCTAGTGTCTTTCTATACAGCCCTGGCTGTTCTGGAACTCACTCTGTAGACCAGGCTGGCCTTGAACTCACAGAGATCTGCCTGCCTCTGCTTCCTGAGTGCTGGGATTGAAGGCATGCACCAACATGCTCTTTTATTTTTTAACTGAGAAGGAATGTTAAATTCAGCTCAGCTCTCCACATCTGACCAGGGGCAGCTCATTAACTATCCAAGCCAACTTCTCAGGACAACTTTAAGAGTGGGAAAGACTTAGGGGAGAATTTCAACTTACCTGAGAAGTCACAGTTGCCACGATGTTATGTCTAGACTGTGCCACGTCCCCACCCCCACCTCGTGTGGTCTCTTTCAAGGGTGAGACCTCTGTTGGACAGGCTGTTCCTTTGAGAGGAATGTTTACAGCAGTTTTGCAGATGACAAAGCTAGTTTGGAGCCAGAACGATGCAGAGGATCCCCTTCCTTCCATCTCTATATTGCACATCTGCCTCCACTCTTGATTCCCTCCCATAAGGCAGGGTCACCACCAGTGAGTGCAATAGCACACCTCAACGGGATATTAACTCACGTTCTCCCAGGGCCCAAATGATTCTTTTGGTTACAGTTTCCAAAATACAGCAAAGCAAACCATACGAAATGATCATTCTTTGTAGGTTGAAAGGGTAAGGTAAATGCAGACATTCCCATAACCCTAATAAATTGGTTAACGATTGCTTTGATGTATAAATAATGACTTCCAAAGGGCTCTGTCTGTCCTAAAATCAGAAAATAATTGATGCTTTGGAGAATCTGACTCAAAACTACACTTGACCGAGCACTTTGATTCTGAGGGGCATAGAGAAAGCACACAATGGACATGGGTTTGATAGGGCGTGTTTCCCTGTCAACAAGCTAGCAACAAGACTTGAGAAAATGTATATGCAAGCACAACTTGAGACCATTTGTTTATGTATTATATTCTAAACCAACAAAATATGTGTTCAGAGCTGAGTCCTCTACTGTGAGGTTAATATTTATTTTCTCTTTTCTGTATTATGTATAAAAGGTAAATTAATCTCAGATCCTGTTCAGCTAGCTGGAAAGTTGGCTTTAAATTATAGATAGCACTTAGATATACAAATAAATCATTAGCACCACATTCTCCGTAATCTAGCTAGTGTTAACTAAGGCCATTCTATTCCTTTTGATTGACAAAAAACCTGGTTGTAGGATGTTATAAACTTGTTTTCCTAATGCCTTGTGGGCCCTCCCTTCACTTTCCTTCCCTTACTAGCAAACAGCTCCGCTTGAGAAGTTAAACATACTTGTTGACATGAAAGAAGCGCTAGGAGCCGAGAAAACTAGATGACTGAAAAACCAAGTTCTAAAGACCTCGCAAAACCCTCAGAAGTACTTTTCCCTCGTCAAAATGGGTAAAGGAGGAAATGTATACAAGCTGTGTACTGTGGAGGGAAGTAGACCTTTTTAAACAGTGGTAGTCAAACCTGCCTGTTGCATGCATATTTAGCTACTGTAGAATTATGAAGTGGAAAACAAAATACTGACAGGTGTGGTGAGTTAGACTGCACCTAGACTACATCTAGTTTACAATCACAAAGCTTTTGGGGGGCTGGAGAGTGGTTCAGAGGTTAAGAGCGCTGGCTGCTCTTCCAGAAGACCCAGGTTCGATTCCCAGCACAAACAAGGTAGCTGGCAACCTTCTATAACTCTAGTTTCCAAGAACTCTACCCTCGTTTGGCCTGAGGGCATCAGGTCAGGCATGCACATGGTGCACAGATAGGAATGCAGGCAAAGAACCTCTAGAGATAAAATTTAAATTATATTGCATTAAATTAAATAATTTTTAAATAAAGGGAATTTATTATTTAAAGAAAACAAAAAAAAACAAACAAAGACAAAACCAAAACCAAAAACAGCTTTCTGGCGAGCCAAGAAATGGTACAGAGTGACTCATTTGGGGCCTGTTTTGGTGGCAGGGTTTGCCTCACAGAGACAAGGGAAACCGCATTCTTGTAAAAGCTGTTGTTAATAATATTTGCTTTACAATAATCCCATCAGTTACCAAGTGTAGAAAACTGATCCTAAAACAATGTTTCAGACATAGGGCTTGCCTAAGGACACCTACCTACTTCTAAAAAAGTGTGACACTGTCATGTTCTGGAAATATCGAGACCTGAATATACGAAAGCAAAGTGTGTCAAAGAAAGAAAGACTTTCACTTTCAATGCCCATGTAAGTACTGCTGGAGTCCATGGCACCGTATTTTCCTATGAAGTCACATTTCCATAACATCAAGCCATTGCCTTGTGCCATTGGGGTGTGTGTGTGTGTGTGTGTGTGTGTATGTGTGTGACACAAATGCTCTCAACTTACTGTGTGACCAGAAGCAATATGTTTATAAGAAAACATTTGACGTACTCATTGTTTTATGTTTTAAGCATACTGTCGCGATGGGTTTAATATATGTGCATAGGTATTTTTTAGAATTGTTTTTACAATTTCCAACCAAATGTACTGTAATGTTCGTATAATTTATTATGATGACCTGCTCATGTAAATTATAAAAACAAAATAGGGGCACATGTCATCTTATTTGCTATTGGTTTTTCCTTAAACATTGATAATGTGACTTGAACACCACCCGGATGAAGCCTCTGATCTCCCATATTCTCAGTACAGAATGCAGGTTAGTTCTACCGATTTGGTTATAAAGTGATCTTCCCTTACCTAGAAGGCAAAGAACAGGAAAAAAGAGACCCTTCTGAAACAAAATGTTACTTTTTGAATGATTTATCCGAAGATGTTTAATGGTGTTAACATTATATATGGAAACTTCTGCTCCAAATAAAGTTACAATTTAAGAAAACTGGTTTGAGTATTTTGATTCTTTTTCGTACCTTTCACTAGCTGGTAACTTTAGGACTGAGAAGAAACAGTTGTTACTCTTGTTGGTTTTGTTGTTGTTTGGTGGGTTGGTTTTTGGTTTTTCAAGACAGGATTTCTCTGTATAGCCCTGACTGTCCTGGATTTCTGTAGACCAGGCTGGCCTCAAACTCACAGAGATCCACTTTTCTTTGCCTCCTGAGTGCTGAAATTAAAAACCTGCACCATTTGAGATAGCATCTCACCATGGAGCTCAAACTGGCCTGACCCTGATATTGCTGCCTCCACCTTCCTGAGTGCTGGGATCACAGTAAGGACCACTGCCCCTGACTCTCTGGCTAATTGGTCTCTCTCTCTCTCTCTCTCTCTCTCTCTCTCTCTCTCTCTCTCTCTCTCTCTCTCTCTCTCCTCTCTCGGGGGGGGGGGGGGGCATTGAGATACGGTTTCTCTGTGTAACAACCCTGGCTGTCCTGGAACTTGCTTTGTAGACCAGGCTGGCCTCAAACTCACAGAGACCCACTTGCCTCTGCTGGGTTTAAATGCATGTGCTGCCACCACCCAGCTAGAGGCTGTCCTTTAGGCAGCTCAGCTTGTCTGAAAGTGTCTCTCAGGGGCCTTACTGCTTATAAGTGAGAGAGGGACTTAGTGTATCTGATTAGTTTTAGGGACTTCCTGAAACCTTTTAATTGTTTACTTCATGAACTTAATGAGCTTCTTTGAAAATAGAATGTTTCACCTTCCCCTTTAATATACTATGTTGTAAGCAGCTAGAAGATGGAAGGTTCTATCTCAGAGGAAATTACTACACAACAAAAGTATAATCAAAGACAAAAAATGATTGATATGTTTCTTGACAGTCCAAGGGATGACACTCCCCAGACCCCGGGGCTTAAGTCCATATGAGATGTTATTTACACCATTATTTCTCACTAACGATTTTTTTTTCTTCCTAAGGAAAATGCTACCCAAATATAGAACATTATAACCTCAGCTCAGTTCAACACTGTAGCACCTTCCTGCAGCCAAGAGAGACGGGTCTAATATTGTTTAATCTAAAAATTCAATGCTGGGTCATTTCCTTCTCTCCCTGCCTTTCCAGGAGCCATCCAGAAGGTGTTATGAATTTGCATGGAGTGGGGGAACCTAGCTGGCCAGGTGTGAGGGTGAACATGCTGGGCAGGCTGGGGAGGGGGGCAGTGAAGTGTGGAAAGTCATTCATGCTGCATCCACGCATCCACGTGGAGAGTTTCTTATAATAGAGAGACGAAGAGAAAGACAGTAGAGATAAAGACAAAGTAGAAAGAGTAGGGAGAGAAAGCGGAGGTGTGCACACCTCATGGGAATGGAGAGAGGGAGGGAGAGAGAGAGAGAGAGAGAGAGAGAGAGAGAGAGAGAGAGAGAGAGAGAGAGAGAGCAGAAGAGAGAGAGGAAGAAGGTGAGGAGGTTTTCCTTAAAATGGGACTTTTACGTCAGGATACAGAGTGGCCCCAAGGGGTGGGATTTCAAGGGGTGGGTCAGGATACTAACATTCCTCTGTTTTGATTATTATAAAAAGAGGTGAGCTATGGGAGCAAGTGGGGCAACAAGGGCGCTGAATTCCCGAGACTGCCATGTGGGGAGCGGGGAGATCTCAGGTGCATCTGTTCCTTGAGGGAGCTAAGGAGGCAGGTTGCAGCAGTCAGTGGTGTTCCAGCTTGGGGGAATGGCAGGCCATGCCATATCAGGAGTATAGAAGCCATGGCATCTGCTGTTTCTCTGGAGGTCAGGCGGGAACAATGAGTCTGCAAAATATGCTCGAAAAATAGGTGGGATCAGAAATGGGCTCTGGAGATTGTTAGTTTTCATCAGACCAGATTTCTTGGTGCAGTAGCAGAACTTTTCCCCGGAGCTGTAGGTATCTGTAAGACAGCTGGAATGGATTTAGAAGAACTTTTCCTAGGAACCTGTAAGTATCTGTAAGACAGCTGGAATGGATTTACATCATGGCAAAAAGGACGTGGCCAGCACCCTAGTTTTCTCAGGTCCCCAAAGATGATAGACACCGCCCATACCAGCCAGAAGCAGTCTGAAGAACATGGCGCCCTCATCCCTGCCTCACCTGCTCCCTTTCTAACTCCTCACCTTTTTATAATAAACAAAAGGGAGGCATGTTAGCATTCAGGCATCTGTACTGGCCTGCTCTCAAGAGTCCTGACAGGATGTCCTCAGCTGCAGCCACTAAGAGCACCCCCTGTGCGCATTCACTTATAAAAGGCGGGCCTTGTACACCTCCCAGCTCCTTTCTCTTTCTCATCCCCAGGAACTGGTTCCCTGCTCACTTGTCTACCTCCTTCTCTGCCCCCTTCTCTGCCCCTTCTCTCATCCCCTCCCCTCAATAAACCTCCTACGTGGGCCCTGTTGTATGGTGTGACTCCTTCCCGCCATTTTTAAAATACAGCAGAAGAGACCTCACACTATGATTCTAGTCACTCCAGTAGTTAACCCAGGGCCTGAAAACATCCTGAGTTCCAGTGGATTTGGACTTGGACATTTTTTTTTTAAAGATTTATTTATTTATTATGTATACAGTAGTCTGCCTGCATGTGTGCCTGCAGACCAGAAGAGGGAACTAGATAGATCTCATTGCACATGGTTGTGAGCCACCGTGTGGGTGCTGGGAATTGAACTCAGGACCTCTGGAAGAACAGCCAGTGCTCTTAACCTCTGAGCCATCTCTCCTGCCCTGGACTTGGACATTTTAAAAAATATCCTGTTTTGGCTTCCCCTGATGCCTTCCCAGAACTCATAATGCCAACCACACACTCTAGCTTTTACTTCTCTGTTGTGGAAGATTTCCTTTGCACTGTGAAGATACGTCACTGTTACTGGTTTAATACAAAAAACTAAACAGTCAATAGCTAGACAGAAATTTTGAGGCAGAGAGAACACTGGGAAGAAGGCAGAATCACTAGCCAGATGCAGAACAAGCAGGATGGGCACTACAGAGATGAGGTAATAGAGCCATGAGGCAGAAAGTAAATTAATAGAAAGGGGTTAGTTTAAGTTATAAGTTAGAAACAAGCTAAGCTATTGGCCAAGCTTTCATAATTAATAAGTCTCCATGGGGAACTGGCTGGTGGGACAGAGAAAGACTCTCTACACTTCTCCCTCAAATCTGTTTCCAGACTCCCATTCCTCCCTACACTTGAGTCATACAAAACCATTGATGCACTTTTGGGGTCTTTTAGATAGGCCCACTGGAGGGGTACCCCAACTGCCACACCCAGTGAAGGGAACTCAAGTCAGCACAAGACACCCCAAGGCCAAATTCTCAACACAAAGAAAGACAAAGGGCAGGGAATAAGACAGAGATAAGAGGGAGAGGATGAGGAAGGAGACAGGAACAAGGGAGGCAGGGAAGGGGTATTTGGGGTGTTTGTCCTGGGAGACAAAGGACTGCCTCTGGATAGAAACAGACAGGGTCCATAGGCAAACTGCAGTTTATAAATATAAAAGGAGAGCCCTCCCCGCAATGTTAGGATGAGGTGCTTGATTTTCATTGGGTAAGTTAATTAGATGAGCCAAAGGGGCACTTTTGATTGCTGGACTTTAACATTTTGATAGCTGGGCCTTGGTAGTCAGCCTAGGGAGGAGGAAGTGGCCAAATAAGGGAATAGACCTTGGTGGCCAACTTTAGGAACATAATCTAACAGTTTGGCAAGGCAGAGGGGATGGGGGAAGAGCAAGCTCTGCCAGATCCATGTTTGCCATGCTTGGACCAGCTAGAGTCCCTTCTCCCACCCGATGCTTCAGATCATTTGGAAGAAGCAAGGTCAGTCAGCATCCCAATTGCTAGTGGCAGTTACCTGTGTAGAGGGGATGATGGGAACAGGAGACAGAAATTAGCTAGGCGGCTTAGGGTAAAAGACCCCAAAGAAAAGTAACCAGTTTATTTCTTGGCTAAGAGCCAGAAACAAAGGACTGGCAAGAAGGCAGAGGACCCAGGTTCAGTCCTTAGCACCTATATGGTGGCTTACATCCATCAGGAACTCCAGTTTCAGGAGACCCAACACCCTCCCCTAAACTCCTTGGGTATCAGGTCCACATGTGGTGCACATGCACACACGTAGGCAAGATGCTCATAAATATAAAAGTAAACAATAAATAATGTAATAAAAAAAAATAAAAGCCAGAAACGACAATGGGGCCTCTTGACCGCTAAGTCCTGGCCAGAGGCCAGAGATGTCAGAAACATTAATGAGGGCGCAGATCCCTGATCTGGCTCCTGAATGATTGTTAGTTGGGGTTACTTCTTGAAGGGGGTGGATATTAGTGTGTAGCAATAAACGTGTAATAAGAAAAAAGCTCCTTCCGGTCAAGAGAATAGAATTTCCAGTGTGGGTGGAGACCTAACAGTCTACTTGGGCTAGGTCAATCACCCAGGCAAAGGACCGCCCTAGGTAGGCGGGTTTACTGTAAGCCATGCTAAAGAAGCAGAATAATTAGCCTAACAATGAGATACTGTCTTTACCTTCTCAGAATGCCATCCTGCAGGGCCACAGCCCCACAGCTCTCCAAGTCTATCTCTTTTCTAAATTATACAGAAAAGTATGAGCTCTCCTTTTCTTCTCCTCCCTTCTTTCCTCCCTCCCTCCCTTCCTCCTCCCTTCCTTCTTTCCTCCCTTCCTCCCTCCCTCCTTCCTTCCTTCTTTTCTCTTTTTTAAAATCTCTTTTCTAATCTAAGCATGCTTTCCATGATACCTTGGGCTTCCCCAGCATTTGGGTTTTCTTACTCTTTCTCTGAATCTAATGGAGTCCCACCACGAGGCTGCTTGTCCAGGCCAGGTTAAATGACTTTCTTCACCACCTCCTTCTCCACTCTCCTCCAGCCAGCAGTCTAGAGTTACAGCTTGCCTGTACTAGGGGTTTGTCTTTTCAAGTGTAATAATACTGTCCTAATAACATTGTTTAAAAAAAAAATAAATTTAAGCTAGGTGTGGTGGC